GTAGCAAAAAAAATATATTGTGTCATCAAATACAAATAATAGTTGGATTAGAAGTGGATGTGGTGAGATTGCGATGTGTTCTATCTACTATCATTTGTAGATGACATTTAGACACTCTTTTTTTTTTTCTTCTTTTTCAATACCTATAATTATGTAATTCTTTTGAATTGGATTAATCGGGTTTGAGTTAAGTATAAATTAAAAAATATAAGTACCCAAAAATATCTCAAACATGGATAAAGTGAAATATTTTATTCATTTTCATTTCCAAAATATCTCACCATTAATTTTCTTTGACCTCCCCTTATATTGGAATTAACTATGCAATGATCAATTATTAAACCGCTAATCAATTTGAAGATGTATCTATCTTTTAGATCATAAAATGTATTTAGAACTTCTTAATCAGAGACTCCTTTTATCTATCTCTACTTGTGTACTGTATAATTTGTATGGATACCCCAAATAATGTACAATTAGAGGAGACAATTATTATGACTTTGTGGCCTTAATCTGAATAAGATATTAAGCTAATAGATTAGAGGATACTTAATAGCTTTCTAATTAGGGAGCAAACAAGATCACATTAATTAAAATCCTAATTTGTGGCACAAAGGGTCTTAACCATCCAATAAAATACACATCAACTTTATTTTTCTTGTGATTTTGATTTTTTCAAGAATTTTACCCTTATATTGATTTTGCTTAATTATGATGTAACATCTTATGTAATATATCGATTTACTCATATTGAAAATGAAAAGATTTCACTCGATATAACAAAAGTCTAATGAGCATACGACTATCAACTTTGATCTGGAGTGAATGACTTTAGCTCAATAAGTTAATTTAAAAATATTAAAAAAATAATTAATAATTTGATGTGGATTATCTATCGATTGTAGTATGACTCATCTCCGTTTCGTCTCATTTGACTTTGGACACCAACTAGATCGAAATTAATATACATTGGATTGGATATCATTAATGTTTGACTTTGATTGGATCTATCTTGTTCCTAATAGTTTAAAATTATTCTCCCTGTATATTTTTTTCATCTCACACATAAATATTTTCCGATCGATTAAATATTTAGAAGACAATTCATTGGATCGGCTTAACTCAAATAAACTCACGACAATACGAGATAAGGAAACCCCAACATCAAAGAAAGGCAACGTGGACATGCAAAGTAGTGTGAACTACTTCGGCGAAGAACAATAAACCACCAAAACCTCGTCCGCACACACCCACACACACAAATGAGTCGCTTCTTATCATTATGTTTCTCCCATTTTGACCCATGGCCGACATCTATGGTCGTACCATCGCCTCTTGTTCTCATCCCTTCGCTGTCTTCGTCGTGACGTTCACGTCGATGTCGAACTCCGCCTCACCATCCGGTGGCCATGCACGAGGTCGGGTCAGACTTCCATTTCCATCGTTTCTGACTTGAATCAGGATCGAGCATGAAGCATTAATCTCCTTCCGCTACTCGTACTCATTCGTCTCGAGGTGTTGCGACAATCGTGCGTCCCTTCGTGGACTTCCTGTTCCTCCCTCCATGGTGGCCTGTCAAAGCTGGAAGAGAGAGAGAGAGAGAGAGAGAGAGAAGCCGCAATTTTCTTTGGACTTTCAAAGGAGGTGGGCGGATGGAGTGGCAATAAGACGAAAAGATTAGCTTATACGATTGAATTACACAAGATTTGGCGTTGGATTCTGGCTGCCGTATCCAGTGGGTGCAGCCATCAACTTCACACCACTTGGCCAGCCAGGATAAAGATGGAAACAGGTGAACACAACCCCATTCATCCTCCCCCCATACATGTCCCCTTGCTTGCTTCCGTATCTTCCCCACCACTGCGGTCGGAAGCCAACATCCCATCCACCTCTGCCTCTTCCTATCTCCGGCCTTGTTACTGGTGTTTAACTCGATCTGTGTGATCTTGGATAGCTTCTTGGAGTACAACATGAAGGGCAAGCAGGACGACGAGAGGAAGGATGTCATCCCACGCTTTCAGCACCATTGCCTTCGACAACACCAACAGCTGCTGCTTCTGCATAAGAGAGAATGCCTGTCGGACGAAGTGGACAGCTCCAGGAGCAGCGCAGAGGTCAAGAAGGCCAAAGCCGACGTCGTCGAACAGACCGCGGAGAGAGGTCTGGTGGTGGTCAACACCGGTGGCGACGGAGGAGGTGGAGATGGCGCCACGATCGAGGTGGCGAAGCGGCGGAGGGGACGCCCGCTGGGGTCCAAGAACAAGCCGAAGACGTCCGTGGTGATCACGCGCGAAGCAGAGGCGCCGGCGGCCATGCGGCCGCACGTGCTCGAGATCCCCGCGGGGCACGACGTGGCTCAGTCGCTCGCCCACTTCGCACGGCGCCGCAACCTTGGGATATGCGTCCTCGCCGGCACCGGCTCCGTTGCGAACGTCGCCCTCCGCCAGCCGCACTTCGGCGGGGCGCCGCCGCCACCCCAGGCCGCGACCATCGGTTTCCGCGGGCGGTTCGAGATCCTGTCCATCTCCGCCACGTTCCTCCCGCCGGCCATGGCGGCGGTCTCCCCCAGGATCGGTGGCGAGATATCCATCTCCCTTGCCGGGCCGCAGGGGCAGGTCGTGGGCGGGACGGTGGCGGGACCGCTGATTGCGGCGGGGACTGTGGTGGTCGTGTCGGCGGCGTTCTCGAACCCGACCTTCCATCGGTTGCCAGTCGAGGACAACGTGTCGATATCCGTCTCGATCTCCGGGGGCGGCCAGGGTGGTGAGGCAGAGGAGCACGAGCCGCACGTCCATCACCAGCATCAGCAACAGCGGTGCCACGACGGGACAGCAGCAGAGTCCTGCGGCATGTCCATCTACGGTGACCACCTCATGTCAGACGTCATTTGGCCGCCCTCTGCTCACCCTCCGCCTCCACCACCTTTCTAATTCGACCTTAATCCTCTCTCTCTCTCTCTCTCTTTCTCTTTTCTCTAGTATTGTCCGGTGATCTACGTTTCTCTGTCATCGCGCTGGGAATTGAAGGAGGAGTGTTGTGCTTCTTTCAGAATTTTTGGCTTGTTCGGATTGCCATGGTTGCATCACAGTGTTACAAAGGAAATCGAACTGTAGTTCTTGATCTTGTTTCTATCAATTTCACTTTGTTAGTTCTCTTCATTTCCCCCCAGTTTAAATCTCATGTTCATGGATAGACACAGCTCAGATCATCGGTTGCTCTCACGCTTGCATGGTTGGAATCGATCTCCAACACCGTGTGGGGTTATTCATGTAGCGATCTCCTATTGGATCTCGAGGCGAATGGGAAGCACTTCTCATGAGGAGAGCAAGATGAATGGCTGGGGTTTCTTCTTCAGAGAGGAGGCGGTGAAGTACAGCAGGCAGGTACCCACGCGGGCTATCACTCGTTCTTTCTCTCTCTCTCTCCATGATCTCCATCAGTACCTCTCTTTCTCTGGTCTGCGGCAGTCTGTGTCCACAGTACATATCTCTCATGTGTCTTTAGCAGAGCTCGAAGCAGGTTGTGGTGTACTTTATGGTTTGAACGGGCCCTGAAACTGTGTGAGAGCCATCTAAAACAACAGCAATGGTATCGATGAGGGTGCAAAGAGCAAGACAAAACCAAAACCTCATTTCCTCACAAGAGGCAGGAAAAGCTGTACTTTGGCCATCTGAATGCATCCTCTCTGAAGGCAAGTAAAGGCTTTGAAGTGAAAGAACATCCTCTCTCTCTCTCTCTCCATGGTTGGAGTTATTGCCTGGAGCATTTCTGTGGCCTGGAAGATTGTGCCAGAGGCATGGCTGACATTTACTTACCATTGGGAGTTGTAACATTTGCTGCATACATCTTGTCTTTTCTGGGATTAACAATCTTGAATTGATATCCTTGGGGTTTGGAGGAATCATTGCATGTCAACTTTAGAGCTTCTGAGACAAGTGTTATTATCATCAATCATATGGTGCGGTAATTTGTCCATTATTCTGATGCTGCTTAATGAGACATATTCCTTCAGCATCGATATGGTTAGTCTCGTTAGGGTGCATCGGGCTCTTTGGATATTTTGTTTAGTTATATCTAGAATTGTTTTGTTCGATTAGGTTCCATTGAGCATTTTGATGCATGTCCTAAGTGGACACATTGCACGTAGGAGATATCTTGTCAAATTATGGTGCATCAGGTATTTTATTATTTATGTTTTAGAAGAATGCATTATATATATGGAGATATTTTGTCCAATTATGATAAATCGACCACCTTGATGCATGCATACATCCTGGACGGATGGATCGTATGTACACAGAAAGATGCATTTGTTGTGACGATCGCATCAACTACATAGAATACAATGATTGATCGTATCGAACTCGAGGAGATGCTTTCGAGTGCAATAGCCAAGTCGGGCACTCTGGCTGCTTCATCCGATTTAGCATGCATTAATCGTGACGACTTACATCGAGCACTTGAGGTGCTTTGATCGATGCAAGGAGACGCTTTAGCCAACCAAGGTTGATGGAAAAGAGTACTCCTACTTTAGGAAAACGAAGTTATGGCCTTCACAAAATCTACGTCTATCTCATTCATTGGATCACTGATGGTAACGTGGATCAAAGGTCGACCAGATGCTCCAACGAATGTGAAGGTTGGATCGATCACTAGGAAGTATTAAAATGATATTTTTCTCAAAAGATCCTTCTAAGATGAATCTATTATGAGAAATTTAGATGTATGTCACGATTAATCTAACTTCGACTTTGGTCGCCCAGAGGTGTTAGTTAACATGCAAAGGTTCTCATCGGACGAGCTGATCTCAAGGAATAATAATTAAGTCTTCCAACTGTTTTGTCATGTGACGATGTAATGTAAACACAATACATAGAAACATTCGACACCAACATCATATATATGGAATCCAAGCCATAGAACAAAGGCAAACACTTGATTTTAGCATTCGTGTGTCCAAGTGAGAAACAAAAAGCATGGAGGATGACAGAAAAAACGTTCCTACATAACACAACACAAGAACACGAAAAGAAAAATGCTAAATACATGTACATTACATACCGATGAATACAGATGTTTTCACATTCTCCATGCTCCTTTCATGTCTTCCGGGCAACAATGAATAGGAAAAATGAAGATGTACAACATGATCTCATGTGAGACACCACAATGTCCTTTTGGTTAATCAGGAATTGCTATTGTAGTGTCTCTGAGAAGCTACTTCATCAGCCGGTGTTTTCTCTCTTTCCGATTATAGTCTTGTAGTCCACAAAGGTAAACATTAGCAATATCAGGTGCCTCCACCAAAGGGGTAATTTTGACTGGATAAAAAGTTTTATGTAAAGGCACCACCAGTTCGAAATAAACCGATACTGCTGTATTCATGTTCTCACATCTTTCAATATTCCTCCCTTATCCAGCTCAGCAACTAAATCTTTCAGGGACGGGACTTTACTGGCCAAAGTCCTGTACAATCTAGAATATCTGGCTCTCGTGCCATCAGCTGTCCGCGCAAGGGCTAGCAAGCTAATAGCTTCGGGCAACTGATCAAACACTTTCTTGATATCCTCAAAGCTCATGTCAGATAGAACTGAGGGCCTTGGAACAACTCTGATGATCTCACCTCCCTTGGGTTCCTCTACACGAGCATCTGCTTTGATGACCAACTCCGAGCTAGAGTTTGCACCACATTTTACAATGAAAGAGGCTGTAGAACCTGTATTGAACTGCAATACATTCCATTGTGATACAATCTCTGTGGTGGAGGTTGAATCTGCATATGGCTGTAGCGCTCGCGATTCATCATCGTAGCTGTCTCCTTCTGGTATCAACTGCAAGAATCATGCTATCATTAGCAACATCAGTCACTGAATTTTTCATCTTTGTCATTTGAGCTATTGGCAAGTCACATTATGGTACACATTTATTTCACAATCATGCCAAAACCAACTTTGCAGAAATCTGATATTATCAGCACAACAAGTGTTGACAATTAATGACTGAGTGAACCTCCTGTGCACCTAATTTTCAGAGACTTCTTAATCACAAATAAAGATAATAACAAAAAAAATCAAACTTAATCAGCAAAATAGGCTATTTCCTCCTTCGCGCTGACACAATGCACAACGAATAAGACAGTCCTAAGGAATTATGTGTGCTCTACGAAGATCAAGGACTAACTTGTGCATTTGATGCACATTAACAGGAAATATAAACACAAAATAAGATTGCGAAAATGATACATGCGTAAATATATCTGAAAGTTTGTGCTGAACTTACCTCTACAACCTTACGAGCCTCTGTAATTTGCTTCTTGGCACATGGATGATCAATATCAAGGAGTGACGGCATCTGCTCTAAGAGTTCATCCAGAGATGCTAGCATTGATTTCTTCCTTGATTTGGTAACAGAACTTACGGAGGTTTGTCTCAAAATTTCCTGCAAGACAAATAACCATGTTATATTTCTGCATGACAAACCTAGACTGTTCATAAAGGAAGTAACTAGAATAAACATGAGAGAAAGATAATAGCAAAGACACCTTGACTTGTTTTAAGATGGCATCCAAAGATATTAAAGATGCCAGTCTTGCATCTTCAGCAGCTGTAGAAGGATTCCGGATGGGTGAACCTCCTTCCTCTTTTGTCAGTAATGCGGTATCACTTCGCATTTGCTGCAATATCTGTTAAAGAGAAGCAGCAGAACTAAGAGTTCGACGTTGAGCAAAATCTTTTTATTTCCATGTGGTATTCATTAAAAAATGAGATCACATGTTTAGTTATCATAAAAGAAGTTTGATGCCATATATATAGCATACTCAAAATAAGGAAATTTTGATTATCGAAATTGATGACATGTACCTGGAGAATGCCTTGGTTTGAAAATTAAACTAATGTGTCTGCCACCTAAAACGAGAAATTACTTGATGTGTGTTGTCATGTAACAGTAGCATATTAGTTATGGGAATATGCATCTATGAGTTTTGACTTTCTTTTCATGGGCAATCTACGTCCACATTAACGAAGTTCTGAGATGCAAAAACCACCAAAATCCCATCCTTTCAATGATAACTTGATTTTTTGCAAAATGGATACAGATAAACAAAACATCTCTGTAATTAATTCTGTCCTAAATAGCCAATTATCTAACTACACCAGGCAGCTTCAAGAATACATGTCAACCTAGAGGAACTAGAATGGACTAGGATGAAATTCCTTCTGCTGCATAATGTGTTGGAATATCCACAAAAGAAAGAACACAAATAAATTCAAGCTGAACTACCCTATGTCATCTGCGTTAGATATCTCTTACACCTCCATCTCTGACACAGACTAACCACATTAATATTGATTAGGAGAAAGAAGCACAAAACAGAAGGAAAGAAATTAGAACAGTAGAACTTCTCTGTTCTATAGTTTTAATATGGCATAAAATGTGGTACTTTTCTGCTGATGGGGGAGGGAAGACAGAAAAAGAAGAGGAAGAAAAAGGAGGAAGAGGAAGGAGGACAAGACGGACAAGTACCCAAGGTGAAGTGGATGACTGGGCAGTTTGGCAATGGATATCTATGGAGACGCTCTTGCGAGAGACCCAAAAAGTGCATTGGGGCCTTTAAAAGAAAGAACCAACATTGCCACTTAAAATAAAAAGGAGCAGTGTGCCTAACATAGGATGGTTGATCTCTTAGTACACATGGTTCGGAAGTCCCAAATCAGAATTGACCAAAGAAATCTGAAACAGCCAAAAATTCAAGACAGACTAGTCCAGAGCTTTGATGAAACAAACAAAAAATGCAAAAGAAATTCAGGTCTTCTTTTAAGTTTATTTAGATTTTTTCAGAATCTTTCACCAAAATCCTATTTGGTAAATCAAAATGATCTATTTCGAATGGCCAAACCTGGTTTCCAAAATTTGATTTTATAAGAGACATGACAGAAATACGTCTCACTACGATGTCATCAAAAATGGCATGCTAATAGAGTAAATAAAAACAAGGCCAGTAACATCAGAAGCAAAACAGATTTTGCTGAAATACAGTAACCAAGATCCTTCAAATTGTACAAATTCAAGCAGTTGATGGTGTTATGGCATGATATAATTTTGAGGTGTTGATCAGCACACCTCTATGTCAGTCAGCATCTTTCACATGTTCAACACATTTCGAGCAACAGAAATTTCTTGGTAGATATGATTTATATGCACCAGGTTAGCAAATATGAACATATATAACACCATGTGATACAATATGGCATTGATAAATTGATATCATTATTCTTATGGAGAGTAGTATGGAAATAAGGCCAAGAGAATCTTATGAAAAAAACTATTATGTTGGCAAAAAATTGAGCGCTCCAATATCTAAAAGAATTAAATAAGAACCACAACCTAGTACATGAAATTTTCTTTAAGACTAGCTGAACTATTGAAAGGGTAGGGCTTGGTGCCATGATAAGGTTGTTTCTATATGATCTAGGAGATCATAATTCCAGTAGCAAATACTTGCATGGAGTATGGTTGTTCCTTGATGCCATTATCAGGTTAAGTAATAATATGGAAGTAGATCTCTTTGATTGAATGAACAATATACAGGTATCGTTACAGTACAACATTAGCCAATATCAACTAACGCATCATTGTGATAATGGATAAGCTCATAATTAAACCAAGATTTTGCAAGTACTTCCAACACAAGGTGGTTTGTGCATCCAATACCTTCTTTCTCTTGTGATCAACAGATTCCAAAGCCGAGCGCAACTTACTGACATGGGCTAGGTCCTCAGCTTCCTCTGTTGCCAAAGTACCTGCTATGTCCTATGAACAAACATAGTAAGAAAACTTTCAATTAGGCAATTGAACGTAAATATGCAAATCCTTACTTGTTGGCAGTAAATTTACTAAGAATGCCAATATTCTAAACCTGTCTGGTAATATTTGAATATGCTATAAAAGGATAATGGGTGGTCACCACGGACAAATTCAAGTATAAAGGCATGCATAAAAAAATATGTATACCTGCAATTCACACATGTAATATTCATGCATAAAACAGCATAAATTCAGCACAAGTAGATAATACACCAAAGACTAATGTCAAAGAAATAAGCGCAAGAAAGAAGTACCAATTAGAAAGGAGAATAAATAGATTGGATCCTCATATAATGAAGACATGAAAAGATGAACAATACACCAAATTCTCTCAATACAAACTTCCCAATCAATAACAATGATTCTGCTGAGGTACTCTATGCTTTATCAAATTCTCTTTTAGCATCTAAGTCCAAAATATTAAAGCATCTTAACTTGGATTGGGAATCAAATTAAAATATTATCACTTATGGTAACCGGTCAAACGTGTTAGTATTATCTTCAAAAAATAAAGAACATCTGAACATGAATGTTGAAGAAAGACTCATGAAAGTTTCCAGATGATGACCCATCTGTTTCTTTTTTTTCTTTTTTCTGCTATATACTGCCTTTTAGTAATTACCAACTTAAAGATTATGGTTCTGTATGAATTGTCATTGCTGTAAATCATCCAAGCAAATAAGTCTAACGATATCTCTTTCTTCAATGATTATGTATCATTGAAAACTCTCCACTTCCCTACTTCAAGAGTTTCAATAGACTTGTCAAGACACAATATTTTATGCATGTTTGCCTTGCAATTATAATCATTAGAAGACAAGATAGCCAAATATTAAAGTTATATACGAGAAAATGAATGTTGACTGATTAATATGCTTAACAAGTTATAGAACACCTACTACTAATTCTCATATTAACGAAGGATGGGAACCTAGGAAAAACAAAAGAAAAAAGAGCGAAAGAATGAATAAGGATGATCACTAAGCACACCATTGAAAAAAGACAACCTGCAATCAGTTATTCAGGTAGACCATCTCAAAGGAAATCAACTATTCGACAGATCTAAGATAAATAAAATTATTGGCAAGGAGGTTCCCCTTGCCTCGGAACAGATATTATAGCAAAGCTGACAATGAATGGAAACAGTTTACCACAGCTACCTGTATTTCCATTTAAATTACAGTAATCTAGCACCTTCATCTAAGTTAACATAATAATGCATTCTCTTAGACAGTTTTTTGACATTTAGGTGATCGTCTCAGATCAAAGTTTCATCAATCGATCATGTTGAACATTCCAAGCAATGTTAACCTAAATCCTTAGGTGGCTTACATAAGGTCTATAATTCCTACGTAAAACTATGTTCTTCACCACCAGTCTGTCCCATACAGTTTCGGACTAACCTTTTAAAGTTAAAGCAACAGTAAGCAGCAACCACTAGAAGTTCCTTAAACATACAATGGCAAAAAAGAATGAGAGAATACACCAGCATAAAACCAACACCAAGCAATGTTAAAATATCTCAACAGATGTTATAACAAAAACCTCCAGTATTGAGACACATCGAACTACACATAAACAGGATTGGCCACACCAACTTCAAATATATGTAGAAATAATTACAGTTAGAATAAGCACCTTCAGGTGTTGCAACTGTGATGAATAAACCCGCTTGGTGTACTCAGATAAAAGTTGGCCTAAAGCATCAGTACTAGGCGGCCGTGCAGTACCAAGACCAGCCATCCATCCATCCATAATAGCAGTTGAAAGAAGTTCTAATTGGCCAGCTGTTGTTCCACCAACGGCATCAACACCAGCAACAGACAGGAAATCATAATTCTCTGCAAGCCATGACCGGATTTGGCGCTGAAGCTCACCCGCTGGTGTATGAACAAACAGTGCAGCAAGAGCTTTATTTCCAATTGCAAAATATTTGGCTTCCTCAGTTATTTCTCGGAGCTTTCCTCCAGTAACATGCTGCCTCCATGTCTCCTACAAGTACACATAAGAATACTTGGCAGATCAAGCAATATAAGCTATCAGCAAAATACTAAAAACAGCACAGTTTCCTCACCATGTTATTATCCATACCTGATCAATCCCCCGAAGCTTTAAGACAATGGATGAGAACTTAGACTTCTTTTCTTGTTTTATATTAACCTTAAAGCCATGGATTTGTTCATCGGCTAAAACAGTCCTTGCACTTGAATCATAATGAACTAGAGATCTACCAGGACTACTACCACGGCTGGAGCTTCTACTTTGGCCACTATTGGCCTTCTCTAGGAATCGTTCCACTGGTGAAACCTGCTAAAAGAAGCGACACATGGTCAAAGCATTTGAACTAACAAGAAAGATGACTATTCAGTCAGAAACTTCTGGCAATTAAGGTGGAACAGGGTGATAGGAAACCTTGATAGTTTGCAGCTCTGGTGATCTAGCAAGCAAAGATCTTATATATAAAATTCTAACGCGCGAAACTAGCATGGTATCCAAAACCCTCTTTGGTTCCATTTTGCGGATGAATGAGAAAACAGCATCTCTGATTTCAGCAAGTATTTCATGTTCCCGTGCAGCACCTGCCTTGATAACTGCTGCCAAAACCTGCAATATAGAAATTCTATCAGCATGTAGTTCCCATGAAATAAATGCCTGTGCAAAACCAGTTAATTTATATGTTTAAAGAGCATGACAAACTGAACACTAGACACCACACATAATAGGGACTTGGATTTAACTCTCTGTCCAATATTGATTTCTATAACTTACCAGACCATTATGGTAACTGTATTTTGAATGGTATGCCAATCTATAGAACCTAGTATCATTGAATAAAAAATTAAAATAAAATTAAAAGGTATTATACATGCATCATGCTATATTTTTTGATATTGATACCCAGTTGAGTTAATTACCAATCCGCACCAACTGATACGATCAAGAGTCTAAAACCTTGCTACAAACAACAAAGAATGAAAATAAACATCTGAAAAGTTTTTTGCAAAACTCTACTTCCAACATATATTCCATGGCTATAACTACTTGCTACCATGTTAAAAAGTATGAAGGCTCATGAACCTGCTGCGGTTACTTAAGATCTTCCAACAACAAGACACTAACTCCTCCAGTATGAAGTCATACCCTCACAAACATGGCTCTGGAAGGTGCCGATTGCAGCATCATTGACTGGTCTAAATCATTATAGAAAATTAACTCACTGCAATAGCAAGAGCCAGGATAATAATAACTAATAAGCATATATAGTTAGATCTAATAGGGATTGCCAAAGTTGTATTAAACATTTCACTTTTATCCTCTATAAAAAGCACACCTACTATGATATTCCATAAGCATAGAAGATGTCATATTGGTTAAATAAAACCAGAGTTTGCAAAACCGTACCATACCGCCCGATACGGGTGATACATACCGGTCTGCCAGCAGACCGACACGCAAACTACCTACTACCGGGCGGTATCAAGCTTTGGGCCCCAACAAGTTGTACGGATCTGGAGCACCGACAAATCTGGAGCTTCTTCAGATCTAGAGCACCGACAAGTTGTTCGCCCTAGCCTCGATGACGTTGGTCAAGTTGGATTTGAGGGGAGCACCGAACGTGGCCCACCCAAACACCATCTGCTCGCTAGGGAGCTCGTTGAAGTTCATGGAGCCGCCGACGAGGATAGGGAGGAGAGCAGACTTGTTGAGGTTTTGGTTGAAGATGTAGGGGTCGTAGTAGTCGAGGAGGATGTGGGCGAAGATGGCAATCTTGATCTTGTCGATGGGGAGGGATGAGATAGGGGAGATGGCAGTGTTGTCGACGACGAGGACGGTGATGGTCTGGCGGCTGTTGATCACGTTGATGAGCTTCAGGTCGGTGAGGTACTTGGTGAAGGCGGAGTAATTGGGGTAGGGGTCGAGGATCTCCTTGGCCACAATCGAGGTGACGAGGAGAAGAAGGAAGGCTAAGGGTTTTGAGGCTCTTTTATCGAGATGTTATTTATTTCGGGATGTTATTGTGTATACTAATGTTTATTTATTTCTAATTTAAAATTTTTATCTCAATTTTCTTTTATTTTTAAGGTATTTTCGAAAGATTTTATATTTTTTTTATTTGTACCGCTCAGTATGCCCTGGTATACCGCTCGGTACCCCATACCATACCATACCATACCGAGCAAAGCTCGGTACATCGATATAGTACAAAATTAAAAACCTTGAATAAAACAACAAATATCTCATAGAGTCCTAGTAGAAAATATTCGAAAATACAAAGAGGATCATGTATTTCGTCTAACCATCAATTTAAAACAGTACTTGATGTGCAAGATGTGATTTATCATATACAATTTCACACAAGTCAACAGAATAATCATATTACGCTTAAGCAAAGCACCATGCAGGTTGAGAAAATGTAAATTGATATCACCTTAAAATGGTAAATCTTGACTATTGTCATAGCTTTATTTGGAATTATCAAAATTTCATACCAGCATCAGAAGCTTATTAGCACCATCAGATATTGCAGCAAAGCTCTCAAACTGATCTGGATCGAAATCTGCAAGTGCAGCGGTAAGATACTCTCCAGCAGGTGTTGTCTTTATCTTCTCATTACTTGATTTCACAAGAGCTCCTGCATTTTCATTCTTATCCTGGGATGCAGGTAACAGAAGGGCATTGGTGGAACGTCCTCGGATGTTCTCGCCCCTGCACAAATGTAAAGAATACATAAATATGGCAAAACTAGAATACCATGCACGCTTGACATTCAAGTGCCAAATGTACCTGTTCAGATCTCCTCCCTGGATGTCTACCGTTCTCCCAACAGCAGGGCTCGACACCTAAGGACAGGTAGACAATGCAATTGCACTAGAATAGTGATTAATCTCACATCGTAATTAAACAAACATGAAACTAGTTGACAATGTCAAGTATTTAAAAGACAAACCAAAATAGTGTCACTTCCAAGGTATCAAAATATAATGCCAGATAACATAGATGTTTGACAAAATAACTAATTGTCTGTATAGTGCCTGAATAAACATTAAGAAGGCAAGTACTCCATCTGGCAGTATAAAAACTTTCAAGTTAAACCGGTTATAAGACAACAAGGCTAAAACTTAACTCATGTTGGCTGACTGCAACCTTTAGTCCTAAACACAAACCCATGACTTGATTATAACCAATCCGATAACTCAAAACCCATTAGCCAAACCTGAAAGTTTTGACCATATCAAACCTAAGTCCAACCTAGATCAATAAACTGAAAATCACTAACTCAGTTCAGCTTTAGCACTTGGAATGTTTTACTCATGGTTTTGAATCTTGGACCAGTGTTGATACCAATCCTTGGGCAGCTCGGTGCGATACCGGCACCATATCTAGCCAACACATAGTGTTGATTTATCACAGACTTAGTTATAATTGCATAAGTTATGAGGCACCCTTGCATGGACATCCGTAATGAGTCAATCTAAATGCAACCTCGCACAGGTCCGGAAGAACCTATAAAACAGGAAAAGGTTGGTCAGTTTCAAAGACAAGTTGTCACATCCTTAGCTAGGATTGCCTAAGACGTGCGGCACCCAAGCAATACTCGTTCACAAAGGATCAGCCTAAACCTTATGCAGTCCACAAACGGCCTGCATAACAAAGAAAATGTTAGAAGGACGAACATGCGAGTAATTTAGTGTCGTCATGTCATGAGCAAATCTGTACATAGGGTGTTCGATGTAATGTTTGTGTATGTTCGTGTCTTTCAATTTTATTCATATTTTGCATAACATGTAAGGGCTTGCAATAGGCTTAGCAGCCTTGTTTTGGTTGACTTTTGTGATCGTTTTAGTCCTGTAAACACAAATTGCGTACAATCGTCAAGTAGAGGCAAAACTACCCAAAATCAAGCCATTCAAGCAACCATTTTAGAGGGTTTTCTAGCTCTGTAGAGTGCATAGTATCAGCTAACACAGCACCCTAGAGCTACCCGAGTGACACATGACTGGATAGGCCTTTGGGGTAGTATCTGTTGAATCTCGGATTTTGATGATGAAATCAATTGATGAGTCTATAATCTAATTTATGTTTTGAGAAAAGTGATGCATGACTAACCACAATCATGAAAAGACAAAACAATTAAAGCAGAAGAATCAGACGTTGGGCTGGAATCAAAGATCGAGCATCGGGTTGGAAGAATCGAACGTTGCGCCAAGATCGAATGTTGTGGAAGTCAACGTGCCGATAGATCGGGCGATATGCTGAAGGTTCGGACGATGCGCCGGAAGTTCGTCGGGAGTTCGGATTAACAAATTACGTACCGGACAACTTGGATTTCTCGTCTTGTAATTGGTCGAGTCTTAATTGTCGTAGTTAGATCTTAATTTGAGTTAGTTTTGGGTGTAACCCTATTAACTCAATTAGGGGCCAATTGGGTCTGAATTAGGGCTAAATTGGACCTACTGGTTGGCCCACTCAATGACCTAGAGCCAGGTCAAGCGATGGCAACGCTAGAATCGCTTGAGGCTCGATCTCCCAAGCAGTGTATGGGCAGTGGTACTGCCTAGTGTCAGTCAGACTGGGCGATGGTACCGCCCAGTGTCAATCTGATAAGCGATGGTACCGCCAGTTATCAGACTGATAGGCGATTGTTTTACTATTGAATCAAGCTAGTATGGTCATAGTATCTTGGTCATTAAATTTAATGGATAGATATTTATTTGTGCCCTCAACACCTAAGAAAAACACAGAAAAAAAAAATCACTACTTTACGTTCCACAACAACAAACAAGGGATATTAACCGACAATCGACTAACCAACTCAAGAATGAGTTCTACGATTGAATGTAACCTCATTCCCTCAAACAAGCACTTTCAAACATACTAACCACTTAGTCTAGTAGGAACATAGGGCTACCACATTTGCAAATGTGGAACTTGTTTTGTGTGATGGCACCATAATGACCATTAAGCAACAAAATTGTCATCACTATAATGGCTATATTGTTGCTACGAGTCAAGCTTCAGATTCGACTAACACGGGCCAATTATCGACATCTTAGGTCACATATAAAATATATGCTGACACAAAGGCTGCAATAGGTCTAACACCATTGTCACCGTTGTTACCACTGCCAAGTCCATGTCATAATAAGGTGGATAAAATGCATACCTTGTCTCATGGCTTCCTCATTCATATGATAGGACATCATATATGTACAAAATCTGGCAACAAACTCAGGGTCATCATTAATATCAGACCCCCCACCCTATGCTAACCGAATAGGACTTCATATGGCCACAAATATTAAGTTCCTCCCTTCAATGCTTGTTGCTTTTGCTTTAAGGATTTCTGTTTGCCTTGAAATCTTCCTCTAATGACTTGAACATCCCTAGTACATTTGATCATGTCAGAAAATCCGCTGATCAAATTCCTACTACAGCCTTATTATTCATTCACCACAACCAACATATTAGTAGTGGATACACGGTGAATGATGATGTTGCTCCAAACAATTTGGCATGCTGCCACTCCAGCTTGGCATTTTATTGCTTTGCTGTCATTTTCTAACAGGCACTAAGTATCAAGTTTTGAACGCAAGTAACAAATTCAGAATTGAGCCATGAAAATATGACCTAACTATGCGGATCTATGTCAATTTGTGTGGACATCTAATAAAATATATACAGATCTAACACAAATTTATGCTGAATTGCTAATCTAGGTCGAGTGTAACAAAAATATAGCATAGAACAATGCAGATCTAGTTTTAGTTCAAATAGAACTACACGAAACACAAGTAGATCCAGCCTCAACTGAATTGTGCATGCTTAAAATTAGAAATTTTAGCCCTAACCTAAGCAAAAAAGCCTTCTTAGGAAGAAAATAAATATAGACGTGGTGGAAAATTTCAGATTTATCTTGATTTGGGAAAAAAAAAAACAAGCTTCCTCTCAAGTAATCTGACCCACAGAAAGAAAGAAAGGCCCCAAACTCAAGATATTTTGTGAAACTTGTTGCAAACAAGTAGCAATTTGGAGAAGAAATTAAAAGAAAAAAGGAAGCTGTTGGATAAAAAAGAAGGAAAAGAGGAATCAACTGAGAAAGAGAGGAAAATGATGGGGAGGGTACCTACATCGGAAGTAGGCTTCCCACCCGATACAGCTCAGCAATGGTAACATTATTGGATGGTACATCTGATATGGTAAATGTAATAAGTGGATATCTGTAGTCTGTATAATGGCTTGTGGTTGGACCAATAAATACAAATATTCATAATGGTGGTCTTACTACTTGTAATTGGATGATCTCAAAAGCATCACTTCAATGAAAAGACATTCAAAAGTGAGTCTGAAGATTTATATTTTGGTTCATCAAGAAAATTAACAATAATAAGTTATACTATTATGAAATCCATTTGAACGATAAAAACTGCCATAATAGTTGGAATCAACAAGAAAAGTTTTACAAGTAATTCTCTATAAAAAAATCACAACAAACCTGAGGCGATCCACCAAATGATGACTTTTCGGTGAGTTTGTCAAATAGCTTCTCATTCTCTTGATGCAATTTCTGCAATTCATACAAATCAAACTAGAATTATCTGGCAACCCAGCATCAATGTAAAGAACCATATTGTACATAAAGCAAAAACACTGAACAAATAATAAAATGAAATCATAAATTAACTCAAGGTTAAGGAATCAGTGAAGTGGAATTTAAGAGACACACTTATCATGAAAAAAAATGTACACATCATGCACAAATTTGTATGCATGCATGAGCATCTTTCATTAAACTAATCCACATAGAGTAAACTCTTGACGCATTAGCTGTAACCAAAGAAATCATACAATTGAAAGAACTGCATATATTGCACAATAATACCAATGACATAGGATTGTCTCCTTGAAAATTATAAGTTTCACAGATGAGTATTTACGTTAAGAGCTGCATTTGGAGAAATTGTATAACTTTGGTAAAACAGTAGCTTTTTCATACTCATCAATAAGGGAACAGATTAGTGAATTATCTCCCACCAAAGCAGGGTCTCAGGAGGGTTAGTCTACATAGCCTCAACAATACAAGCAGAGAGGCTATTTCCATGACTCGAACCTTGTTCAGCAAGGTCTACAAGGAAAGACATTATTACCAATCTATGACTCCCTCTCTAACTTATACTCAGTGTTATAATTATCATCTTATACCTATATGCACCATCCCTCTAAATAAATGTCAAGGTTTATTGCAGGCAACATTATCCATTACATTATTTTGCCATCATCGCCATGTTGTATTGTGTCCCATTGATTCAAGTTTAAACATATCATTATTTTTTATCATGTCATAGTGAATTTTCATCTTTATGCACATGCTTCAGAGACCCATAGATTTAACTGGAAATCATAAAGCATGGCAAGCAAAAAATGATGTTAGACCATAATATGTATGTACACAGCAACAAGCACAGATCCTACCAAATGTATCACAATTCAAGGGTCAATAGGTGTAATACAAGAAACTCTGTAGGGTACCTAGAAAGCATGCACGTATGAACTAACTGTGCCGGTCTGAAGAAGGCATAAACAACAAAGAGAAGTAACTACACGAGCTACAAGTACAAATAAACTTATCGAGCAGATGAAGGACAGAACAAGAGAGCACACAAAATTTTGATTAAGGCACAGATAAATAATGTGAACAGACTTTCTCCCTCAGATCCCAATTGAAAGCTTAAAAAAATGGATTATGGAACTGACTAAAATAAACTGAAGATGAAGTATACTTGTGTTTATTGCAAGAAATAGCAATTACATCTCTCTCCAAGTAAGAGCCTCAATTTTGGCTTATGCAGAACTAGGTCAAAAAAGGTGAATAAACAATAGAATTATTTTTTTTGATCCCTTATCTTAGGGCAAAGAGGATGATCCAAATGAAGCACATGTAGTAGTTAGAATATTAGGAGAAAAAAATGTCAACCGTCACAATATGATTGTTGTAACTAAAAATTCGTTTCTAACACAAAATAGACATATTCTATTTTCCAGTATATAATAACAATGATTATACTGTAGTTTCCAGACATCTTGATAGTAAATACCCAAATCCTCATCCAACAAGATGTGTTCTCCCCAATATGCAAGAATAGATTCAAGGACAAAAATGGAACTGCAACCATTTCAAAATTAACAACAACAAAACACAACCAACTGTTGGTATGATTTGTAGTAAGCAAAGAGTCCAAAAAAACCTGTTTTGACAAATAACTTCTGTTACATCCTTTTTTTTCTTTGTTTTTTTTTTTTGCTATCGAGAGTCTAAATCATGCATCATAACAATGTAGACAACTTATAACAGAAGACCTTCAAACCAATGTGGAGAAGAAAACAAAATTCAGCAAAGCAGAAGCAATTGTTTAATCTAAAATCTCAAAGAATGTCATAAACCAAACTCCAAAGAGTCACTACACCTCATCGAACCATTAACTCTAATGCTAGTTCATCAACTAAATATTTGACATTCAATTCTCACATATAACAGACACCAAAACACAGCATCCTCTCACGCCTATGATTTTAGTTAACATATCCTACTGGTTGATGAGATCGCAAACAAACATTTAACAGTACCTACATCAATTACATTACTCCTTGGAATTTCCAAGCTTTTACAAAGCAGGGAAGATGATATAGAGGGGCACAACATAAACTTCAAAAGGACAACCTATACCAAACCAGTTAGTCCTCCATTTTGCCCTCTATGGCAGTTCTCTTCCTCTAGGTGGTCTCTGATACACCAACCGGCGCCTGCAAAACAAAAAAAAGCAAAAGGAAAAAGAAAGAAAAGACAACCTACAAGATGTCTGTGCTTTAGGTCATTAATCTACGTCAATCCACTTAGGCTGGTTTAACCTCCAGCAAAGACAAACTTAGGTAAAGAGGGATTATCATAAGACCCACGAATCTAGTTGGCATGTAGGAAGATCTACCTTCATGGTTGTAAATTAAACCCATGAACCATATAGTAGATCACCATAGTTTTCCTATCAATGGAACTGTCTAGAAGAAGAGCAAAACAAAAGGCTTAGATGTAAAGAAATATATTCATCGGCAACAAAAGCCAAAACTGTACAGCAGCGTTCCTTCTACAGTACCTAAATAGACCTTTCAAGCTCATATTCAGAAAACAATGTCATGTAAGAAAGACTATTATAAAAACAATTAAGCAAACCTCAATAAGTGCGTCCCTCTTTGACAGCTCTTCTTCAAGTTTCTTTATGACCTGTGAAGAGTCAGCACCATCCTCTGCTGTCTTTGGGGTTGAAACAACCCCTGTGGACCCAGTCTCAGATCTGCTAGTTGATCTGGTATCACTTGATTGAAGGGCCTCATTAAGTTGAGACTCAATCCCCTTTATTCTGGCCTATATGATGAGGAGGAACATGTCAGAATTATATAGACTGTATTTAAACTTAAGCAAAACCATGGTCATTTCAGATACCATGGATATTTACATCATCAATCCCCATTATCTAGTCTTCAGAACAAGCAGCAAGATGTTCAAAATGCCATAGAGCGGCAGAGTAAACCATGATCATTTCAGAAAACATGCATATTTATGTCATCCAAAAGATTCTTAATAGCATGATTTTGCAGTTAAACTCAAAAATAAATACAAACCTTTGGCAGTTTAAAACCTAAGCACCTGTAAGAGGAAAGGATATGGAACATGAACTAAAAGAGTAGAGGCAGATAAGTACTACCACAAATAAAGCAATGAAGACTTCCTCAGTATCCAATATGCACAAATAACACAGCTAATTATTTAACTTATCTCTTATAGATTTGCGAGAAGTCTGAATTCACAAAAGGCACTGACCAAAGATCATTTCATATTGTTTGAGTATTGACATCAAGAAGTGAGAAATCAACAAAGATTCAGAACTTCAATTTAATAACCAGTATATTTATTTTCTAGTCATACTGTAATATATTAGATTTCAGCCAGATACTTGTTGCAATAAATTGGCAAGAAGTATGATAAATCAAATAAGTCCAATGAAAGCTAGTAATACAATGAAGCTTATAGACAGATGATATTTTTATGATATGTAAAAGTTATAAAAGGAAAAAAAATACATTTTGTGTCACATTGTCCTCCAACAAACAAAGATACAGCAGTATCAAGTATAGCCATTTGCTTCAAAATTCCGTAGGAGAAAATCTTGTACTTAATGATGTCTACTTTAGTACTTCTTAAAATCTAGAAAGCCTCAACATCCAATTACATGCACTAGCCTAAAGAAAAGGTTAGATTAACATACATTTATGATGATGAAGGTATGATGACTAAAAAAACAGAAAAAACAAAAGAAAATTGACAGCACAAAGAAAAAGAAAATCAAGGCAATACAAACAGGATATATATAAGCGGTAGAAGGATTCAAAAATTAGAATAGTTGATTTGGTTTAAATTGTCGGTTCCCAAGAAGAGATCACTTAGCTCAGATTTGCTTGCTTCTAATGAGGAGGCTTTCAGAGATTAACAGCTATAAACAAGGCCAATAAACTATTAAGTATAGCTAAAGAAGATAATAAGAATACAAACAAGCAAAATCTAAGCAAAGGAAATGAAGATATTTAGCCAATTAAACACAAAAAATAGAAAAATCAAAGAATAGTTCTCAATAAGACTGCAAGTAAGAAAAGATGGAGGAATTATTTTTATAGAGCATTTGATGCATAATCTGTACACAACCTAGTATCGAGTAACAAAATCAAAAATCAAAGATTTATAGGAAAAAAGAGAACAAATGAGGTAGAAAAGCTCGATGATTGTTCAAGATTTAACCTGTAAAGTACTAATAGCAACATCACGTTCATGGATCTGCATTTTCTGTTCTTGTTCCAGTTGCAATAGGTGAGCAATTTGATTTCGAAGTTGAGTGTTTTGATCTTTTTCAACTTTTTGTTTCTCTACCAGCATTATGTTTTCTGCCTGCAACAAAAATAATAATGAACAGAAAGTTCAGATATGGCAAGCAAAGTTTTGATCTATGTTGAGAGTTCTAGCATTTACCAACCATATGCATAAATATTCTTGTGTAATCTCCAATTTATTGTAATATCCATTTTTTTATAGAAAACACTGCAAGCACTCACAGATAATACAATGCACATAATTATAATTATTATAGGCATCTTGTCTATGAACAAGTCCGAAAATAACTATATCCTATAATTCAATACAAAACTGCAAAGCAAAATTTTGCAGAAATTTGTTTTGGACAAAATGTCAAGTTTATTACTTCAGTCACCAGTATGATGTTAATAATTCAAGGGTATCTGGATACAGCCTGATAACAGAGACCATGCACTTGGAAAATGCTTCTGTCCAAGGTGAAACAGGAAGCTTCTGTGGGGCATAACATCTTATAGAAAATCAGAGAGCAGTTATATGGACGAGTCAGACTCTTTACTTGTGATTTAAAATTTGTGTCATTGCCCATAACCAAATATTCATACTTCAAGGGATAAAAGTTGGCTGCAATGATGTGATTTAGATAAAAAAATATTAGCCCAAACTCTGATTGTTCCATAAAATTTAGAATCTGAATGATCTTCAGCTCTAGGGATCAACAACCTAGTCATGCTTGATATAACACACCATTTATAGTTCCATTTTATAAGAACAATAATATATAACACAACATAATCCATTTGACTCTCTTTGGAATTACATCGATTGTAGGAACTCAAATTTATAATAACATAAAAAAAACAGAATCAGAATAGGGACATAATAATTAAGGACAAAAGGCCAGAATAGGACCTTTAAATCTGCCTGAAGTGTAAAAGAAACCTTCCAAGCTTTTTGGACTTCATTAAAAAGCAGAATGCATTGATCATTGGCATCTTTAAGAGCAACCTTTAGCCCCATAACTTCATTCTTCAAGCCAAGAACTTCTTTTTCTTTCTCATACAGTTCCTTCCGTGAATCATTTGCCTAACAGATGATATAAAAACTTTCACAGAAGTTCAACCCAACAACAAAGCAGGTGAACGAAAGAAGTAAACATATTTTTCAAGCATTTGAAAAAGGTGCTTACCACATCTTTCCATTTCTTAATTGTATCTCGATTACCAAGGCTGAGTTCGGCATTTCTTGCCCTAGAAGAAAAGTTAAGTGTGGCCAATGTTTCAGACATATTTGAAGAATTTGAACAGACATGGGCAATCAACAAGGTCTTTGAGCTCCCACCTGCCACAGACAAAATAAATGAAGCAACTAGAATAGAATAAAAGAATTTGCAAAGGGAAACAGAAACTTTTTCTCTACTCCAGGAGACTTTCCACATACACACACACATATATACATACAATAGAAGGTTTAGTGAGTCAGATTTGGTGGACGATAAACCAATTAACTAAAACAAGTATTGTCCTATATTATCACTCCATAGGCAATATTAGTAGCTGAAGTCTTCATTATTTTCATACAACGAAAACAGTTTCACTCAGCCTCCACTTTTGAGATAAAAGAGTTAATTACAAGGATGTGAACCAACTGTGCAGGTTCCTCGGTCATTAAGTAAACTTCAAAAATTAACTCGACCAAATCAAGTCAGAATGGACATGAAACAGGCAAAAAACTTTAATCACATAAGAAGCATCTTACCCATGGAGTCAGCAAGAATTTGGGTCATCCTCGAATTTTCATATGGTACAGTCTCTTTCTTTGTCGTCAGTGATGTTAAAACATCACCCAACCTAGTTAGTAAAGGAAAAGGGAAAATAACATTTAAAAATGCAGAAGCTAGTAAGTCTTGCATCCTTGAAATCAAAAGTGCATTTCAATACTTACGCAGAAAGTGATTTTGAAACGTGCAAAAAGTTTGTTAGATGATCCCCGCTAGCATCTTTAACCATCAATATTTCACTTCCAGGTAGATCAACAAGAGAGAGTTTGCTATACAAGTTTTCTCTAGTGACCCAATTTGAATAGTGAATATGAATGGTAATAATCCTGGGAAAAAAGATACCAGACATTTCTCAGAACAAGAGAACCCAAATATGCTGGGGGTTCCTACAATTGTCTATCGAAGAACGCCTTTATAGACCATCAAAAGATGCCAAAACTAATGAATTAGCAACAGTTTTTAAAACCTAGAAAGATCATGAAAATCCAAAAATATAAAATCTGCTAGAAACTTTACCATAGCAAGAGAATTCTAAATGATATTGTATAAACATAACAAAGAATTAATTTAACTTAGCTTACCAGTTTATTCATTTGATATCCTGTCTCAAACTGAAATCCAAATCGCAACTAATATTTTTGCATTCTCCCCAAATCCGTAAAATATTGGATGTCATAGTTTCTTATTCTATGATATAGTGGCTAATAAAGATTGACATATTAATGGAATTGAATATCATCCAATGCCATAAATGCATGGACCCAAATGATGGCTAGCAGGGGCCTGTGCCTGCCCTTGCTTCTTTTTTTTTTCATTAGCACTCTAAATGTCAATGAAGTTGCTACAAATTTCATGTTGGCACAACCACCTCCATCACAACTCAAGAAATGGTAATTTGCTCATAATAAGGTCTCAGCTTTGAAATAACTTTTTGGACAGTCCAAAATGCTATGCTTATGAACAACTTCTTTTGCTTGCTTTTGGTGTTAACTTCCATTTTAAAAAGACCATTATGATAATTAATTTTGACTATCAAGTGTAAATCTTTCCTCTTACAGAATAACTTTGTTTTGAAATTATAAAACATCCTAACAAGTCATGTTATGGAAGATAATGAGCATATTTTTGCAAAAGTGTGTGTATATATATAAACTAGTTTGACTAGTAATAAATGTGTTCTATCCTATATACTTAGTCTTTTTATTGTCTTTTTAAAAAACCTATAGAATAATTAATTTTGCCATACTGGATGAGACATTCAAGTATAAACAAGTTTTTTTTATCTCTCAAAATGTAACACGTTTCAGTTTCCATTAGCTAAGAATCATTTTGACAAGTTCAATGATGGAAGATAATCATCATGTGCTTGTTCATGGTATCCTCAATATTTATTAACTTTGATCGGGTCATTCTCGTTTTCACATTATTCATTATCTATCACAAGATTAACCATGACAACTTCTAACTTCGTTAATATCATCGCATCACATTATTCATTGTTTAATACAAGAAATTTAACCATGACAATGTTAGTATTCAACATCTACCATATGATTAAAATGGTATGTCACAGTTTTGCACAGAACTTTTGGCCCCACCTGGTGGTAGACACGGGTTCCACCAATCAATTCCATCCAAACATTAATATGAAAATGAAAATAAAAAAATCTCGAATAAGCAAAAATTAGGTCAGTTATTATTCTGGCCTGGGACTGCACACAGACCTAAAGCATGGCTTACAAATTTCATGAAACTCTATTATGTTAAATCAGAGGCAAATTAAGCAAAAATGAATAGTTTCTTTTGCAAATGGGTGTATCTTCCAGACAGTAGTCATGAACAGGTTCAACTAAACTAACAGGAAGATCCAGAAAGCAGTAATCTCAGACTACTCATACATACAGATGGGACATAATGGCCTTTGAAGAATCGGTCCCTCGATTCTGAAGTGCAACTTTAAGTACTCTAGAAAAGTCTAAAGGATTATCTACTTTCTCCTGTGTAAGTTCCAAGGATGAATCTCGGTAATCCAATTGATTTCTTGGTAAGCTGCTTAAAGATTTTGCCAGCAAATCTTGAACCTATCAAGATACAAAAAGTGGGGAAACACAACAATTATATCCTCATTAACGAAATAGATGAGCGGGAGAACTATAACAAAGAAAAGTAAGCACTATAAGAGAAACATTGATTAATATGGTAAACTAAAGAAATGACAATATTAATTGTGTCAAAGCATATAAAAAAAGAAAAAAATTGGAAAGACTGGAAAACCTGCTCATTATAAAGCTCAAAGGCAGTAACATAGAAAGTATACTGAGATGTTGTAGTAGTATCTGAATTAGACAGATCAAAGAGCTCCTCAAAACTGCGAAAATACAGACCACGCTCATGACTTGATCCTTCCTGAAAACATAGCAACCACATCAAAATTTAAGAACAATGCTTAAAAGTGATGTAAGACATAATATTACACACAAAGCCTATGCATGGGAATTCTAGACATCCATGTTGCCATGTAACTACTAATGGATGCTCTAGAAGAAACAATTCAGAACCAAAAAGAGCCACTAGAAACATAATTCCAGTGAGAAACTCCATATACACGGAGGAAAATGTATTTATTAGCACCGAAGATGAAGAACACCAAAAATGCAAAATCTACTTTTTCACATTGATAATAAATGAACTTACTAGTCACTTATATGATAGACCTCCATGGTGTATGTTATTTACTGATGATATTGTCTTAGTTGATGAGGAGCCTAAGTGGAATTAATTATAAGCTTGAGCTATAAATGCAAGCTTTCGAAACTAAGGGTTTTAGATTAACTGGAACTAAGATTGAACATATAAAATACAATTTTAGTGATTCTATAAATAGATAGAAGAATATAATTAAATAGGATGGATAAGAAATCCCTTTATGGAAAAGTATTAGGTATATTGGATCAATTATTCAAAAAATAAAGAGATCAATGAAGATATTATTGAGAGCAAGGATTGAAATATCGTACCGTACCGGAGTTTCAACGTTCGCTCGGTACAATACTATATACCAAGCGGTATACTGTTCGGTATACCGCTCGATATATATATATATATATATATATATATATATATATATATATATATATATATATATATATATATATATATATATATATATATAAGTCGGCGACGTCGCCTCTCTTCTCCCAGGCGGGGCAACATCGCCTCATTTATATAAATAAATAAATATATATATATATATATTAATAAATATATATTTATATATAAAAAGATTATATATATATATATATATATATATATATATATATATATTATAAAA